ATATTTAAAAAAATGTTTAGAAAATCTATATCTTTTTTTTATAAAAGGTTTAGAAAAGATATAATAATAAAAAAAAAAACCTGAACGGCAAGCTAAAGCTCGGCTTGTTACAAAATGAGCACGAGTCGAGCTCGTGGGTATATGGATCGAGCCGAGCCGACCCATTGCCATCGCTAGTCGCGGGAGTCGAGGGACAGCGTGGGCTCGGGGGCAACACCCCCAAAGTCGGGGATCGAAGATTTTTTTTTTTTTAAATTAATTATGAGAGTGCTAATAATTAAGATCTTTCAGTTCATCATGTTAGCATCTCCGATCTCACAGGTCAACAGTCCTTTTCTTTTGGTTATATTGTAGTGATTCTTTTTTATTATCCACGTTATGTTTCAATGCCAATTTTTCTTTTCCTTTCAGAAGTATATTTCACAATCTTTTTTTTCGTCTCTACATGTTGATTTGCTGCTTCAACCTTTTCAACATTCCTCCACATACTAGATTTGTTCACAGAATTGCCTGAAGCTGGTCTATTTTCTGAAACAAACTTAAACATGGAACTATATGGCCTTGTTCCTGATATAATCAAATCTCTCTGTTTTGCATCTTTGACATGAGATGCCCAGGTCTGATTCGTCTGTAATGTTCTTGAATTACCCAAAATCCATAAAGTTTGGCCCTAGTCAAGGAAACATTCATCTGTCTAACATCAGCAACAAATCCAAGATTGCTAGAGTTAATCTTGGGTGTTTCAGATCCAGCTGCTCTAACTGTTGAAAGCAGCAGGATATCAACTTCTCAGTCTTGAAAGCCATCAACTGTATTAAATTCCATTTCAGCAGTAATAGAAAATCCAAATGCACCAGAAAAGCAGATTGGGGAAAAAAAGATGTGATATAAAACTGAAGGACTGGAGGTGTGAATATTTGGGAAGTAAACAGTAACATCTCATTGGATTACTGTTGCATCTACAATAACCCAAAACTGTCTTTTTTATTATAGTAGGACACATCACAATTTCAACGTAAACAATAAAAGATTGGCTGCCTTTCCTGTATACGTTCGGCTAAAGATTGAAAATTTTCACCAAATTCAATATTCCATTCTTTAGCAATGCATGAAGAAAAATTGCTTGTCCTCGAGTCAATAAAGGTGGCTTTATAGCCAACACATAACAAACCTATATATTTTACTCTCCCTATTCAACCAGCTTTCTTCAGTTCTCCAATCTTTTGAGAATAGCAAAGAGGTTACCATGATATTAGAGAGCAACTTATAAGATGCCAGACTCAAATCTTAAATTGGCAAAAGCCACTTCAAAAACTCGAGTTCAGTGTTCCGTTATACACATTCTACTTCTCTATTGATGTCGACTATGGTGAAATTTTCGAACAACTTAAAAATGATATTCAATCGCAAGCCATATTCGTTACCGGTGGATAAAGAACTTTTGCAAGAGTTTGAACTTTTAATGATGTGGTTCAAAATGATATTAGAGAAAAGAAAATCGAAATAGAGAAATAAACAATTATGGCAAGCTCGATCATGAGAGCCTTGATCTTTACATTGAATTTTGGAGACATCTGAAAGTATAAATGCTAAATAATTTTACACTTTAAATAGAAAATTAATTACATTATTTGTTGAACTCACAACATCCCGATAGGAAGCAAATGCTATATTTAGAGAAAAGTGAATATTACTAAATATAGTAATTATATTTATTTAGTTACCTTTAATTTAGGGATTAATTACTAAACTTTTGATAATTTAGTTTTATAAATATTAGAAGATATATTTTTAAAAACCTAATTAGCACCTAATTTTTTAAAATTAAATCTTAATGACGTGATTAATTATAATCAAATTTAAAAAACATGATTTTCCTTAATTTTTCATTTTCATAATTCCATTCAATATGGTAAACCTTAATATTTACCATCAATTTCAATCTAAACCCTTGTTTGACCTTATCTAAAAACTCTTTTCAATCACACGTTCTTCCAATTAAATAATTTTGCATGTAAATTCATTTTTTCCCTACTTTTTAACTACACATTCTCCGAATAAAAAATCATTATTAAAAAACACTTTTTTTTTTTACTAAAAATGGGACTTAAATAGAGCCTAAATGCCTTGATATGCAAGCGTCCATTTTGGGGAGAACTCATAAATGATTTGGTCCTTTGGTTTGGATAAAAATTAAAATTTTAGTAGATTTTGATAAAAATTAATGGAATGTGTGATTGAAGAGTAGTGCATCTCGTGAAATACGTGGTTCGACTTAAGTGTTGACTTTAAATTGAATTTTAATCCACATTTTCAGTGGAACCAAACATGGACTTAATTTATAAATAGATAAAAATAAGTAGTGGATATGTGAATAATATTTGTAGATTCATTTAAATGTATGATTGAAAATGAAGTTTGACCATGTATAAATATTTATAATTTTTGTCAATTGGAGGATAACAACAAAGAATTACATCCAAGAATCAACCAAAGGCATCATAGTATCGATCAAAATGGGGCTCAGATCATTGTACCCTTTTGTACAAGCCAGAATCACAAAATATCCAAACCCTAAGAAAATAGAAGAAGCCTTGAGAAGAATAAAAGTCAGAAGTGAGACTAGGGCATCAGTGTAAGTCCCTATATATAGCCCACACAACAACCATTGATCTTAGGTGATCATCAACGGCTCAGACCAATTGACACTTTATGTTTTAAGAGGCAACACTAAAGTCGCGCTTACACAATGTGGCTTTCCTTATGGATTTGGGTTTTGGGCCCGGGACTTGAGGTTATCAGGCAATGGGTTATAAAACCTGCCAATGGGCCAAGCCCAACTTCATCATTGCCCACATATTGAATACCTCGACATCACATCCCAGTAGAGGCTAAGTTATTTCTCTGTCCACATGCATGTTGTGTAAGTTAAACCTAAAATTTTATCAGAAGTATTTTGATATTAACAATTAATTATGACAAATGAGTTTTGGTCACTATAGAGAAGGGGTCTGAAATCTTATCTTATGATTCGATGTCCCCTTTTTGTTGTCCCCTTAGCTGTTTACGGAATAAAATTTTGACACCACGCTACAATTTTTACCTTGATAGGTTTCACATTTCTTGATGTGTCATCATATACCTTGTACACTAGATTAATGTTGCATTTTATAAAAGTAAACCATGATAATCTTTCAAATAAAATTATTAGATTCTTCATAAATGGAAATTCACGGGATCAAAAATTATATATCTCTGATGAATGAACCCATTGAAAAGTGAATCCAAGGGCATGAGAAAAAGGCGGGACATGCAAATGAAGCAAAATAACTGCTTTTCAAATTTCACCAGATACTTTCCAAAAAATAAGCAAATTCTCTCTCTCATCTCATTCTCTCTCTCTCTACTCCCATCCTCCCTTTTTCTTTCTTGTTCCCTTTCCATTTTCTTGTTGTTCCTGTGGGATAATCAACATTAACAAATTCAAGAACAAAGGGGGAACAAAAAAACGAAAGAAAACAATATTATCCCATGGGGACCTGCATGTCTGTGCAGGGCAATTCAAGTTTCATGAAGAAAACCAGACAACAAAAGCCATTATCATACTACGAATCCGAACATGGCAAGGATGCAAGTGGAAAGACATCGATGCCCTTATCGCAAAAAATGTCACGTCCAGTCCAAGTTCTAAAAGATCTTACGCCAGACGACATATTCAAGAAATACGAATTTGGGAAAGAATTGGGGAGGGGTGAATTTGGAATAACATATCAATGTAGTGACATTGAAAATGGGGATAGAGTTGCATGCAAGAAAATATCAAAGAGTAAACTTAGGACAGAAATTGATATTGAGGATGTAAGAAGAGAGGTTGAAATAATGAGACATTTACCAAAACACCCCAATATTGTTAGGTACAAGGAGGTTTTCGAGGACAAAGATGCCATTTACTTGGTTATGGAGCTTTGTGAAGGTGGAGAATTGTTTGATAGGATTGTTACAAGAGGACATTATACTGAAAGAGCTGCTGCCCTTGTTACCAAAACCATTCTTGAGGTTGTCAAGGTATGTTCTTCTTTTTTTTTTTAAACCTATTTTTTTAAGGATTTTTGTTTTGTTTCGATTAATGTTTAGTTTTTTGTAATTGCAAAGACATAATTGAGACCATGAAATTGGAATTTACAAAATACTCCTCCCAAGTTTTGATATGATCATTCCTAAATCTCGTTAACCTAATTTCATGGTGCCAAAAGACGATTTCAAAAATATTTCTATAGTGGTTTAAGTCCCTATTTGGTGTAGTTTAAAAATTTGATAAAAATTTCAAGTCAGGGGCAACAATTAGTTTTAATCCCACATTTTATAAGATTCACAACTTTTATCAATTTTTTCAACTACAGATTAAATCAATTTTTATCAAAATCTACTAAAAATCTAATTTCTAGGTATACCAAATAGTGGCTAACTCTAAATGTAAAAAAAAAAAAAAATCCTAATGTAATATCCTGAGTTCTTTTAGGGAAGTTGGAGTTGGCTCTTGTTGTTTTATTCCTCGAAAGAATAAAGTGGCACGTAACCTTGCTTCTCATGCTATTTCTTCATCGGTCTCATTGCAAACCACTTCCATCCTGCCCTTTGTTGCGAGCAGCTTATCAACGGGAGGGTGTCAAATTTAACTTCAATAAACCTAGACATGTCTAAGTTTCTCATTTTATCAAAAACTTGACACGTGCACAATTTTTTCTTAAATAAGTGACTTCGTTTCTACGTTTTGATAATGTGTTGAACTAGTTATTGCTGAAGTTTGTGTATCTACTTGTGTCAGGTATGCCATAAACATGGAGTAATTCATAGAGATCTTAAACCGGAGAACTTTTTATATGCAAGCATCGCTGAAGATGCTCCACTCAAGGCTATTGATTTTGGCCTTTCCATATTTTTTGAGCCTGGTATATATGCTTAATTAATTTGCTTCTCTTAAATAATTAATTAAATTAATTCTAATTAATTAATATGTGAGTTTAGGTCAGAGATTTGGTGAAATTGTTGGGAGCCCATATTACATGGCCCCTGAGGTCCTTAGACGTAATTATGGAGAAGAAGTTGATGTGTGGAGTACAGGCGTTATTCTTTACATCTTGCTATGTGGAGTTCCACCATTCTGGGCAGGTAATATATTCAACTTTGGTAAACACACATGTTTGTGTAAATATACATGTATATGTGTACGTATAGATGCAAAGTGAGACGTCGAGTCGAGTACTATGACAGTCTCTTTCCAAGAATAAGATTTTATCCACCTGTGCTATCGAGGATCTACTTCATTAACAAAAATACAAAAGGGTTATCGATATCAAGAATCAATTTTTTTTTTTTAATGTCGTGCCTTGACCAACCATTTGAAACATTTGAATCAATTGATAAAGAAAAATTAAACTATTAGATAAGCCGACATTTATATAGTTTAAATATTGACTTCAACACGTCCCTTCACGTGTAGGCGTGTTTTATTTTTCTCAT